ACGCGCTGTCCACTTTCTGTCCCCAGGCGCCAACGTCTCGGGCCTTTCCAAGCCTCCCGCCCCGCGGAGCGGAGCGATACGCTATCCGTTTGCAGGGCATAGCGTGTCGCCGGGGCCACCGCGGTGACACGTTAAGCAAAAGCTCCTGACCGTAAGGGTCTGGAGGGAGGGGTGGTCGAGGATTGGCAGGGGGGGTGATGTAGGGCTTGCGGGGGGAGGAGCTCGGGTGGTGAGATGTCGGTCGGGGCTGGGGTAAGCTCCCAAAGGCGAACGCGCTCCAAGCATCATAATAGGGTAGTCCGAACGGACAGCGGCTCGGCCAAAACCAGAAGCGCCTGGTCCAGATCAGGAACAGTCTGGGCCATAGTCAAAGGCTGAACAGAAGAGCGCCAACATGAGAACGCACAGTCCCTTCATGAAACAGCGAAAGTGAGGAGGAGAAGAAATGGGATGATGATGATGATGATGATGATGATGATGATGATGATGATGATGATGATGAGGAGGAGGAGGAGGAGGAGGAGGAGGAGGAGTTGGAGAAGAAGGGAAAGGAGGGTGAGGAGGAGGAGGAGGAGGAGGAGGAGGAAGGTCGAGATGGGGGAGGGGAGTGAGGAGGTGGAAGCAGGAGAAAGAGGCGAATGACCTCCTCTCTTTGCTCCCCCGGGCGCCACTTCATCCAGGGGGGGGGCCACAGTCACACATGTGGTGCTGTCTTCGCCTGGGCGTTTTTTAGGTGCTGAGGACGCAGGGCGCAGTGGAGACCACCGAGCTAGGCTGGGCCCCATACAAGGGTCTGGGTGATGGGTCAGTAGATCAACGGAGGGCGAGACGGAGGACGGCGGGCCGGACGGGGATTACGATGAGTATGATAATGATGCTGATGATGTTGATGTTGATGCTGCTGATGATGCTGATGATGCTGATGATGATGATGCTGATGATGATGCTGATGATGGTAATGATGATGATGGTGATGCTGCTGATGCTGATGATGATGATGCTGCTGATGACGAAAATAACGCTGGTGATGATGGTGATGATGATGCTGCTGATTATGATGACGATGCTGATGACGATGATGCTGCTGATGATGACGATTATGTTGTTGATGATGGTAATGCTGATACTGATAATGGTGATGCTGATGATGAGAACGGTGATGATGATGATAATGATGATGATGATGATGATGATGATGATGATGATGATGATGATGATGATGATGATGATGATGATGGTGGTGGTGGTGGTGGTGGTGGTTGTGTGGTTGTGGCGGTGATGGTGATGGTGATGGTGATCGTGACGGTGGTGGTGATGTTAATGGGGATGGTGATGGTAGGTAATGTTAGGGATGATGATGATGATGATGATGATGATGATGATGATGACATGATGCTGGTGATGATGCTGATTATTAAGATGCTGCTGATGATGCTGATGATGCTGATGCTGATGCTGATGATGATGCTGAAGCTGATGCTGCAACTGCTGATTACGATGATGACGACGACGATGATGCTGATGATGATGATGGTGATGATGGTGATGGTGATGATGATGATGATGATGATGATGCTGATGATGATGATGATGATGATGATGATGATGATGATGATGATGATGATGATGATGATGATGATGATGAGAGGAGGAGGTGGAGGATGAGGAGGAGAAGGAGTAGGAGGAGGAGGAGGAGGAGTCGAAGCATGAGGAGCAGGAGGTAGAGGAGAGGGGGTACACGGAGGACAACCAGGAGGAGGATGACGATGAGGAGGAGGAGGAGGAGGAGGAGGAGGAGGAGGAGGAGGAGGGGGATGATGGGGAGGACGACGAGGAGGAGGCGGAGGATGTGGTGAAGAGGGGGAAGAGAAAGTGGTCGTGAAACATAGAGAAGATGGGGGGAGGAGGAGGAGGAAAATGCGATAGCGTATTCGTGATCTGGTTGGAGACAGTTTGCATTATGTTGTGTTGGGCTGGCTGTTTTGGCCCTCTCCCTTGTTTACTTACTTTCCTTTCTCGGGATGGCTCTTGCGTGCTCTAGTTTTGGCTTCCACTGTTTGTGGTTTAGACCTCGTCCGCGGGGCTGTAGTGGCGTGTCGGTGGAGGGTGTTGGTGGAGCGGGTGGTAGTGGATGCGTCGTCCTCGTCCACGGGGCTGTAGTGGCGTGTCGGCAGAGGGGGAGTGGATGGTGGTACGGGATAAGGCTCCGAGACGGGGCTTTCACCATAATCACCGCCCGGGGGGCATGTCTTCGGGGACCTCGGAAAGCGGCGGATATGGATGCATTCGGGCCTTGGGGGGGGGGCAAATATATACACATATATATATACACACACATACATATACGCCGCCTGCCAATGTCCCCGAAGATCGATCCCCTGTGCCCTAGTCATGGGTGAATGCCCGCCTCGCAAGGGCCCCCAGTCTCTTGCTGGGCCTCCTCCGCCTCGGGGCAGGGATGTGGTAGTGGGAGCAGGAGGAGCAGCTCCTCCTCCTCCTCCTCCTCCTCCTCCTCCTCCTCCTCCTCCTCCTCCTCCTCCTCCTCCTCCTCCCCTTCCTCCCCCTCCTCGTCCTCCTCCTCCTCCTCCTCCAGGCAAAGGATGCGGAACACGAGGGGGGAGGAGGAGGAGGAGGAGAGGGAAGATGGTGACCCTGAGATCCGAGCGGTGCAATGTTTGACACCTGGAGTCTTCGCCGGGTTTGTGGTCCCGGGACCATCACTGCGAAGAGTGCCGCAGAAACGTGTGTCTGGGGTTCTGGTCGCGATTCTCTGCGATGTGCACTCTTTCGCGACGTCGGATCTCCGGGGAGGAGGACGTCGATGAGGTGGATGAGCAAGAGGGGCACAGTCGCGACGGAATGTTGGTCCCTACGATGGGGCAGCCGTCATCTTGTCTCGCCTTCCTCCATGCCCCCCTCCCACCCAACCCACAGTAATGGTTACAGTGGTGAGAAGATGGAGGCTGGGACCGTTAAGGGAACAAGCAATGACATAAGCATCGAAACTCATTGGTCCGCACCGATTCGAGAAATCCGCGCGGACCTCCGAGTTGCTATGTTCATGTCGCTGCTTGTTCCCCTCATCGTTTCCCCTCCCCCTCCTCCCCATCTTTCTCCCCCTCCTCGCCGTCCCCCTATCCCCCATCTCCTCCTCCCCCTCCTCCTCCTCCTCCTCCTCCTCCTCCTCCTCATCTGTTTATGTCATCTCCTCCCCCTCCTCCCCATCCTCCTTCCCCCTCGTTCCCATCCTACCTAATCGTTTCTCCTCCTTTTCATTTCCAGCGTCCTCCCCCCCTCTTTCCCCGCTTCACGGCTGTCTAGAAGATGAGGGGGGGGCTGGTCGCTTGGGAGCTCCGAGCAGCCCCCCTGCCCTATTGCCCTCAATTCCTCCTGCTGTCCCGCTCCTTCTCCTATCCTACGGTCGGACCGAGGCAAACGGTCGATGTCGGTTCGGGGAGGGGTACCCTAGTGTTCTTCGTGTTTGTTGGGTGTTGTTGTGCATCCTGGGGGAATGTACCCTCGAGTGACCTTATTGTTTGGGGTGTTTTGGTCGAGGTCGGTTCGGGGAGGGTACCCTCGTGTTCTTCGTGTGTGTGTGTGTGTTGGGTGTTCTTGTGCATCCTGGGGGGCGTGCGCTGTGCCGGGGGCAGCGTATCCGAATTCTCGGCGCTGGCGGCGCGGCGCATAGCGCAGCTGCCCAAGGTGCCCGACTGAGTCGGGCGACACCTCCAGGCGCTTGCGTCTGCGCTGGTCGCTCGAGCTGGCTCGTCAAACAAACCATCTTGGGGGGGACACCTTCGAGTGATCTTATGGTTTGGGGTGCCTTGGCTGGCGGAGGGTCTCGTGTGATTGAAAGAGGCTCTTATGTCCTAGGTCCGACGGTACCCCTTCCTTCTCCTGCTGCTCCCCCTCCCCCTCGAGGACATGCAGACATGGATCAAGGCGCGTTGATTAGCGAGGGCCCCCGCTTCCACGCGTCATCGGTGCACTCCGTCGCCAATGGTTCCGGCTATGGCCGAAGGCTTCGGGGGCACCTCCTCCGGTCCGTGGATCTGGCGCCATCCCGCCAGATCCGCCGATACCTAGACCATGTGAGCGGGTGCCGTGCCTTCCCCGTTCTCGTCATGGCCTCCCTCTTTCCTCCTCCCTTCCTCCGCCTGCTCTTCCTGCTCCTCCTCTTCCTCCTCCTCCTCCTCCTCCTCCTCCTCCTCCTCCGCCTGCTCCTGCTCCTGCTCCTCCTCCTCCTCCTCCTCCTCCTCCGTACTCCTTCCTCTCCAGTCCTCTTCCTCTTTATTGTACGGTGCTCTCCTCTCTCTACCGCCCCTCCTCCCTCCCCTCTTCTTTCGCCGTCTCCTCCTACTGCCTCCTCTTTCTCCTCTTCCTCCTCCTCCCCCTCGTCCTCCTTCCTTTCCTACTCCTCCTTCTCATCCTCCTTCTCTACTTCCTCCTCTCCTCCTCCTCCTCCTCCTTTTCTCCTCCACCTCCTCCTCCTCCTCCTCCTGCCAGCCGCTTTGGCCCAGGAGGGGCGTGCGGCAGCGCGATTCAAAGCGGCGCAGCTGTCGCGAGCCATGGCTTAGACCTGATGCCCACGAGCCTGCGGTTCTTGATAGCGGAGAACTTCTTCGGCTCGGATGTCGGGGCGAGGTTCGGCGACTTCTTGGAGGCCGCGCGGGTGGATGATGCCGAGGTCGTCGTCTGCCACTCGGGCTCAGTCGGGGGAGGCGGGCACGCAGCCCAGCCAGACCCAGCGGAGCACGCAGGAGAAGGCGCTTGCGGACCGCTTGCGATAGCCGCCGAGAAGAGTCAAGGTGGGGGGTCAGTGGCTGCCGAAGCCCCCGCCGCCGGTGAAGATCAGGATCCCGTGGCGCCGGGTAGAGCCGTCCGCGCCTGCTGCGGGCAAGGTGAAGAGCGCCAAGGTGTCCAAGAAGAAGGCGAAGAAGAAGAAGAAGAAGAATAATCAGAAGGACCAGTCGGTTCGGAGCCCTTTCGCGAATCTCAAGGGTCACATCGACGGGTCCCAGGAGTGGAAGCTAAAGAATTGCCAAATGCAGAAGTGTAATTGCGAGGACTGCGCCAAGAAGTTGAACAAGAAGGTGGTGCTCTTTGGCTTCAGGGTGCAGTGCCCCTTCTGCCGCAGGCTGCCGCCGTCCCCCATCAGGGAGAAGCAGATGGCGGCCATCCGCAAGACCAACAGGGAGGAACTCGAGCGCCAGAGGGCTCCCAAGAAGCAGCTGGCGTCGGCCACTGCTGCGAGATTTTCGACCTGTCCAAAGAAGATCAAGCAGAAACGCAAGCGCAGCCAGGGGAAGCAGGCCATGGGGGTGAAGCCCAGCGTGCCGCAAACGGATGGGGGCGCTGGTGAAGGAGACGGAGAAGGACAGGCAGCTGGAGCACATCGACGCGATGGCCAGCAAGCAGCAGACGACCGAGGGCAACCTGACGGAGTTGATCGGGTCGCTGCAGCCCGCCCTGCACACGGGCACGGAGGAGGCGCAAAACAGGGTGAAGGCCCTCATCCAGCAGGCCGAGAAGGCCCTGACCAACGCGGAGGAGAGCCTGGTGCGACTCAAGCGCCTGAGGAACCTGGTGGTGGCCAAGTGAACCTCGTGCGTGGATGCACCCAGGCCCTCGCGGGCCAGAGTCTGAGGGACCGCGAACCAAATCTCACAGAGACTGAGCATGAGCTGCCTGCCGCCCCAGCTTCCCCGTCCCTCCTTCGGGCGGGGGGCGACCTGGAATTCTTATTGGAGGACTTCCTGGAGGGCAAGAAGCTCCAGGACGCGCTCGAAGTGGCCAGCGCGCCTGAGGCCATGCGCACTGCGATGCTGGGCATTAAGTCGTTCGCGTTCAGGCTCTCGCTTGCCCAGGCGCCCCAGTAGTGGGGTGCTTGGGTGGGCTTCTCTTCAGGCGTGGCGCTGAGCTGGCTTTGGCCTAGGTTAGCGTGCGTCGCGCCCAGTTTTGCGGGCGCTGGGCATTGGCCTGGCGCCATTCAGGGGCTGGGCATAGGCTCGGCCCCTCAACCATGTTTGTCAACTGCTGAGCGTTGGCTTGGCGTGGCCAGCGTGCCAGGGGTCTCTAGGAGAGACTCGTATCATCAGAGCCCTCAGAGCCCTCCTCATCCTGCCTCCCTCCCTCTTCCTCCTCCTCCTCCTCTTCTCCCTCCTCCTTTTCCTCTTCCTGCTCCTCCTCCTCCTCTCCCTCCTCCCTCGAAGGAGAGGGTGAGGAGGAGTAGGCGGGGCTGGCTGGCTGACTCGACCCAAGGGTTGCCCGTCCTGAGCCGCACGCAAGTCATATGGTGCGCAGTTGGGGGGGGGGGGGGGGTGGGGGATGAAGGGGGGGGGGAGGAACAGGAGGGAGTCCACAGTGCGGACACGGGGCGGGAAGGCGAGGGGGGTGGTCGGGGCCCGGAGGGAGAGGAGTGGCGCGAGGAGGAGGGGAAGAGGGAGGGGGCGGAGAGAAGGAGGAGCAAAGACGAGGAGGAGGGGGAGGAGGAGGAGGAGTAGGAGGAGGAGAGAGGAGGAGGTTGTAGGAGGAGGATGAGGCAGGAGTAGGAGTAGGAGGAGGAGGAGGAGGAGGAGGAGGAGGAGGAGGTAGGAGAGGAAGAGGAAAAGTAGGATAGGGCGGAGGGCCGGGCACGGCGGGGCGAGCGCGGCGGCACGCTCGAACTCCAGGGGGCCCAGGGTCGGGACCCCGCGCCCGCCCTTCCTAGGAGGAGGCTGAGGCGGAGGAGGAGGAGGAGGGGGAGGAGGAGGAGGGGAGGAGGGAGGAGCGAGGAGCGGAGGAGGAGGAGGAGGAGTGAGGGGAGCAGCAGAGACTGCGGAGGAGGAAACGGGAAGAGGAGGAGAGGAGGAGGAGGAGGAGGAGGAGGAGGCGGGGGAGGAGGAGGAGGAGAGGAGTAGGAGGAGGAGGAGGAGGCGGAGGAGGAGAGGAGGAGGAGGAGCAAACGGTGGGAATATTGGCAAGTAGGGGAGGATAGGAAGGGGGCGAGGGGAGGGGTGGGGGTTGGGATGAAGAGAGGAAGAGGAGGGTGAGGAGGAGGAGTGCGGTCCCTTGTGGAGTTCTCCGCCGAGACCGTGGCTGGCGACGGGGCAGCGGCGGCACCTCATGCTCGTGGTTTCTGCTCTCGCCTCACGCTCGGGTGGTGGAGAGGGACGGTGGGCGGGGAGGAGAGGAAGAGGAGGAGGAGGAGGAGGAGGAGGAGGAGGAGGAGGAGGGGAGGACGGGCGGGGAGGGGTGAGGAGGGGTCCAAGGAAGGGGAGCCCCGAAGAGGAGGAGGGGGCAGCGTCGAGCAGGAAGAGGAGGAGGAGGAGGAGGAGGAGGAGGGAGAAGAGGAGGCGGAGGAGGAGGAGTAAGAGGAGGAGGAGGAGGAGGAGGAGGAGGAGGAGGACGACGACGAACGCATTTTGAAGGCCAACACGATTGGCCAACTGTACCCTCGTTTTGTTAGGGGTCGAGCTCTAGGCCTCCTCCAAGGCGCGTTTCTTCTGGCCCAACACGGGGGGGTCCGTGGACGTTTTTGTGAAGCCTCGTCTCGCACGGTGCGGTTCCAATGGGGCGGTGCCGATACCATCAAGGCTAGCAGTGTTGCCATATGGCTTGATCTTTCTACTGAGTTCTATGTTGTTTTGCGGCAGTCCGCGCTTTCTCTAGCTCGGGGCAGCGAGGCTATAGCACGCATCCTGGAAGAGGGCGCCTTGCCCGAGGTGGTGAGCCACGCAGTCTTTCCTAAGCTAGAGCATGGAGTGCCTGTTTTCGGAGACTTTCTCGAACAACCCCATCTCTTGGAACTCCGTCGGGAGAGCCAAACGGGGGCGTTTTTTTGGGGGGGAACAGTGGGCAGTGCGGACTACATCCGTCCACGTACAGGGCCCAGTCCTGGCACCATTCCCGCCACGGATCTCTTCAATCTGGTTTTCAAACTAAGTGCACACCTTCGTGGACGAATCCATGCTGCGTGAGGATCTCGTTTGGACCCCACCTATATGCCGCCTCGTATTGATTCTAACGATGATTGTGATCAGACGAGGCGTACGTCCTCCTTTTTCGAGGCTCTGCGTATTGTAGATGCTACCTGTCGTTTTGGGCGGCTTCTTCCTGTTGCGCAGCGCGCGCTCGACCCTATAGCTGAAGCAGTTTGTAGCGTTGGCATGCGTCTTCATCCAGGTCAGACTGTAGTGGTGATCAGGTATAGGCACATAGATTCGCGCGCCATGGCTCTCATGCTGCACGCGGGTCCAGAGCCGCACAGTGTTTCCCCCGCTGTGTGTGTGAGAGGGGTGGTCGATTTCGAGTTGTCGCCACCCACAAGGTTTTAGGAGTGAGAGTCTTTCAAGACGGCTCGATGGACCCCGAGCTGATTGCTCGCATATCGGTTGCTCGTCAGGCTTTGCTATCTGTCAAGGCCACCGTGAGCCCACGCGCGGCACTTTCGATTCGAACGAAGGCGATTGTATCAGAGGCTCTTGCTGCTACTGTTCTATTCCACTCGTCGGCGACGTGGGAGGCACCTTATCCTCCAACCTCGAAGGCAAGCTGAGCGCTGCTCACGAGGAGATCTACAGAGCCGTGTTGCATCTCCCGAGAGCGAACGATCGCGAATATCAGAATTCGTACCTTGCTGTGCTCATGAAAGTTTAGCGGTTGTCTTGCTCGTCTTAAGCACCTCATCATCATCATCGCTAACCCCCAGTCGTGCCCTCCTTTCGCGCGGGCGTTGACCGATGCCACCTGGGGGGCTCTAAGCTCTAAGTTTTGGTCAGCGCTCTCGGAGAAAGACGAATACACTGATCCAAGTCATCGCCCAGAGGGGAAACGTATCGAAGGGTGGCTCGACAGGCTTCGTAGCAGCAGGGCGTGGTTCGAGGGCGCTGTCGCTGCTGCGGCCAAGAGAGCTTCGAGTGTCTGGCAGGACAAGAATAAACAAGACGCGTGTCAACGCCAGCTCGGCGCCATCATCGATGGATCCACCTAGCCTCTGCTGTGCTATGAGCGTGGCTTTACCTCGCCCTCGTTCAGGCAACTTCGAAGCCATCGGGCCAGACTTCACATGATCTCGGGGGCCGCCCCACAGAGGCAGATCGTCGGGTCCACCTGTCACTGGCGCGTGGCCGATGTCAGCGACACCCCGAGGCGTATGAAACACATGCGCAGGAAGGGAAAGTGTTGGCAAGGCTTTGGCGAGCTGAATCGTTTCCCTCGGGCGCCGAAGCTTCTGCCCAGGTCGAGGAGCGCAGGCGGTCACAACAGGATTAATGCAAGCGGGGACTCCGAACACCGCTTCGTCTCTGGCCGGGACGGTTTTTTAAGGCCTTCCCCCCCCCGCCGCCGCTGCTGCTCCCGAGCCTCCGCCCCGTGCGCCTATGGTCGCAGGCGATGCCGTGGTGAAAAAAACAAAACAAAAACAAAAAATGAAAACAAAACAAACAAACAAAATAAATCAGAAAAAACGGGGGGTAAACAAAAACAAAAAAACAATGTTTCGCCTCTCCTCCGGACACTGCTCGAGAGGCTCCTGCAGCAGCACGCCGTGAGGGTCTTCGTTTCCAGCACAGGTGTCACTCACAGTCTTGAGAAAAGGGGACTTGCGCCGGCAGGAAATCGCGTCGAAGCGGCTTCCGCAGACTGCTGGGGGGTATGCTGTGGGAATTATTGGAGGCCCCCCCTGCGAAACCTGGAGTGCTGCTCGGCACCTTGCGGCCGAGGGCACGAATCACCCCCCACCGGCTCTGCCGGTCCCTTTTACGGCTCCTGGGGTTCCTCCTCTTCGCCCCGAGGGAGTTCCGACAAGTGGAGCTAGGGAATGGCCAGCTCAGGACTGCGGTGCTCTTCTTGCGCCTGGCCTGGAAGTTGTCGATGCCGTGCGTCAGGGAGCATCCCGCCCCTCGCCAGTCCAGTGACGGCATCCTCTCGAGCTGGTACCTCCCTGAGGTGATTTCCCCCGCGCTTCCTCCTCCCTCCTCCTCCCCTTCCTCCCCCTCCTCGTCCTCCTCCTCCTCCTCCTCCTCCTTCTCTTCCTCCTCCTCCTCCTCCTCCTCCTCCTCCTCCTCCTCCTCCTCCTCCTCCTCCTCCTCTCGCTGTTGGTGCCCACTCTGTGGACACTGATCAGTGCCAGTTTGGGAGTTCCTGGTTGGAGCCCGCAAGACCCTTGGCGGTACGCTGCCCCTCGCTGCGTGGGTTGGTGGGCTGCAGTTTCAGGCGTGGCCGATGCGGAGGATGTGCGCACGTCAGCCGTCGAGGGCTTGGCGACAGGCGCCAGTGGACGACGGCGCAAGCGAATATATACCCCGAACATCTTTGTCGTTTGCTCGCCTCTGCCATGCTCTCTGAGTTGCATCATTCCTTCCCATCGTGCCATGGGTCGGGTGCTGATTGGGAGTTCCATGCTTGGGCGTCGGACTTCATCATCCCGCTCGAAATTACATGGGCCGTGACATGGCCAATGACTGCATGGCTCACAGGGTCGCTGGTCGATCTTGGGGCCCTCCCTTTGTGGGGCGCGGCGGGTGTGCTCGGGTTACGGGCCTCCCTCCCCCTTCCTCTGCTCGTGCACGTGTTTCACTTCTTTCCACCTTCTCTGTTTTGCTCCACCC